AATCGCCAAGCAACAACTGTTCCAAGGTCATAACAACTGTCTCCTTTTGCGCATCTTTGATGAAGTCTGCCACATCCTGGTGAAACTCGATAGACCAGTTTGCAACACGTTTCCACTGGTTCCAATGGTTCAAACTGTGTTATCGATAGACCCACTAAATGTGTTCTTTTGGAATCTAACCATCCGTCTTGGATGCCTTATATAATATAGAACCATTCCCAAGCAGGGTCATCATCCCAGGAATGGAATTCCATGAGCTATTTTAGGAGGCGCCAGCCCAAATGGTCGATTTTTCGGGTTGGTCCAATCCACCCAATCTTCGTTAATATCCCTTGGCGTTCACATTTCCACTTAAAGGATCATCCCTGTAGATGGTTAACATACAAACCTGGTGTTCACAAGTTACCCGGCCTGGTAAACTAACAGTTTGGCGAACTGGAAAATGACTATTTTATAGCTGGGTAAAATCCACTATTTCCAAAAATCATGCTCACATGTTTCTTCATCAACAAAAAACAATATAAGTCCCTTCTCCCTACTAAATCTCCCTATTTGGCTTACTGGTGCTAAACGCAGGGAATTTTCGGGAATGATCCACTGGCTAACTATCAATTTCATCATCCCAGCAACCCCCAGCAACCCATCCATTCCCTACGTAAAACGCACCAGTAAGTTGGGGGGGTCCCAGAAATTCTCTTGGGATCCATGGGATGCAAAGAGATGTACCCGTGTCACCGTTTTTTTCAACGAGCGCCACACGAATGAAGGTGGTTTGTTGCCATACCCAAAAAACGATCCAATTTTGTGGCTACAAAAAACGAATTCTTGTTCGTTTACATCCCCCAATTGATGATCCGTGCATGTTCCAAAAGTATCCCCAGTAGTTTGATATTCAAATCCCCGACTATTATTGTGTTTGATGGTAAAATCCGATGTTTTGTTGAATTATTGTTCTACCATGTTACCCTCCGGTAATCAAACGTGGAAAAAAGGAACATCCACCAATTATGGATGATGTTCCCATGAAAACCTTCATTTATAGATTATTTCCCAGCCAGCCACGTTTGATTGCTTGAGGGTAACTGTTACCCTTTGGTAAATTAACATAGACCCTGGCAGATAGGGGTTGGAAGATTAGTTTCCATTAAAACTAGGCTATTTTCAGGGTCTATGTTAATTTACCAGAGGGTAAACCCCTACATGGTTTATGCTTAACAATGCAAAACCCATCGCCCTTCACCAATTGGTGTAATGGGCTGGTGTACTCAATAACAAACAATCCCCAATCTTCGCTTGTTTTTGGGTATACCTATAATGGGGATGAATTTGAATAACTCCCAAATGGTTGGTTACAGATATGGTTTATGGCATTGGCTTTTCCACATTCTGTCTCATTGAAGGATATGAAAGGACCACTATATCATCATTATCGCAATCTTACACCATTAAAACACATAGTCACCACATTGGGCGGCTTTACCCCAGCATCTCGACCCAGTTGGAACCGCTGGGGTTCCCCCTGTTTTCGCCGTCCTCCAAGGCCGTGAAGATGTCCTCCCCGCGAGGCAACCTTCCGAGGTTGATACACCATGGATCCAAAGGCCTTCCAGAGATGATCCAATGGGCGAAATTCACCGCCTGGCACAATGCTGTTGAGTGCCGGGTCTAGTGCCAAATGTGCCAAGTGCCGGAGTCTTTTCAGGCAAAATTTGGGGTGTGTGTATATATATATACACTGTATATGACATAATATATCCAATATATAGTGTATATAGAATTCAATACATATAGTTTTAATATATATATATATTATATTATATGCATTATAATATAATATATACATATATATGTATATATATCATAATATACATCATATAATAAGTTAATATATATACAATATAATATATATACATTAAAATATATATATTATTATATGATGTAAATATATATATATATATATCATATATATTATATAATAATATAATATAATATAAATATATATCATATATATAATGTATATATATATATTGTATATTTATATTATACATATGTTGTATATTTATATCATATATAATATATATATATATATTATATATATTGTATGATTATATTATATATATGTTGTATATTTATATTATATATATATATATGTTGTACATATAATATATAATATATAATATATATTATATAATATATAATATATAATATATAATATATAATGTATATAATATATAATATATTATATAAATATAATAATATATAATATATATAATATAATATTTATTTTAATTTATTTATAGTATAATATATATATATATATTATATAATATATCACCAGCAAGATGAGATGGATCTGTCTGAAGATGGATTGTATGCCCCCACTTTGTGTTATCTTTTAGGGAACTGATATAGCACTGGAGCTTAGGATATGCCATTTTCAGACAAACACTCATTTAGGTGGATTGAACTGACTGAATTTCCGTGGATTGGCTGATTTTGGGTCCCCAAAAACGCTTTATGCTTTGGTTTTTTAAACAATGAGAACTGGTGGGTGGTTTCAACCATCTTGAAAAATATGAAAGTCAATGGGAAGGATTATCCCATACATTATGGAACATAAAAAATGTTTGAAACCACCAACCAGAGAAAAGCATCTCGGCCAAATTCCAGCAGGGAAATCAAACACATCTTCTCTGACAGATTCGCAGCGCAAACCGCTGTTTGCTGGACCAAATTCGCGGTGTCACCATACACGGCGTGCTGGAAAATCCACCATTTATCGATTATGCTCCCATTGAAATGTCCATTGAGTTTGTGGATTTACCAGCTCGCGGTTGTACCTTCAACAATCGTCCCATCGATGTTTCACTACAATATGGGCCCGGCCACCATAGCTGTTGGTTTCTTGAATCAAGAAATAATTCTTGGATTGACTAGGATGATACATAGACATCTACAGCTACATCTACATATACATATACATATTATATAATTATATAATATATAAAATGATATACAGTAACTATATAATCTCTATAGCTAGATGGGGTCATAAACATCACCAAACATCCACCGCGTCGTAACGAAACGAACTTTTCTCGACAGGTCACGGCCACCAAAGTGGCCAGCAGCAAACTTCCCACGATGCAACTGGAGACGAAGAGCTGTAGACCATCCTACGATGGAAAGCGATGGATGGCGTCCCCCAAAGGTTACACGGAAATCACCGTATTTTAGGGGTTAAACATAGAAAAAACTATGGAAACCACACAAAAAACGATGGAAAACATACAAAAAACTATGGAACATCACCATGTTTAATGGGTAAGTCAACGATTTCTATGGCCATGTTCAATAGCTATGTTAGTTTACCAGAGGGTATGTTTGTTATACACCATAAAAACATTTAACAAAAAAATGTAGAGAAAAAATCTACAAGCCTAGTCGCTTTATCCATAAACCACTAAGATCCAATAAGCCATAAACCTATGACCACTGACTTTAGTATAGTGTACCACTGAGTTTTCGCTGCCGACCATAGTCATTGGAGTCAACCAACTTAGCCAGGTGCACGGCTTTATGAAACTCAGGGACCGTTCCAAGCCGTTCCAAGGTGATGGAAACTGTCAAGTTTAGAATTATATCTATAATTATATATAGAATCTACATACCCATTGAATCCCATTGATACAATTTTTGTACCCGGTGTCATCAAACGTGGCCTGGAAAACATCCCATTTCGTGCAATGATTTCATCTCGGATCCCTTGATGCATAGATGAGCCAGCCACCGCTTTTGATGTAGCGGCCCGCCCACTTTTTGGACAGCCCCCTATTATCATATGAATTTCTTCTGAATGTATTGGATTTGTTCATGATCGGAGGTCCCTGATAAAAACCATCACTGCAGATTCAACGAATGGATTTTGTTTGAGTATCAAACTGGTCTCTCTCAAATTGTGCCATATGCCCTGCAGACTGCATAGTTGAACAGTGTACATTGATGTACATCTACATGTTAGATCTTGCCATGTTTGGTGTAGTTACCACGTTTTATCCCAAAGCAAAAACGGCAACCACCATGCATGGAACATGGAGTGTTTGAAAACCATAAATATACAAGGCAATTCAAACAAAGAACCACTCTCTGGAGTCTTCTGACACATCCTCAATCCTCCACTGATCAACTTAACACTTTCTTGATCCGCAGTTGTAGGCGCAGTGGCCATGGCACTCTTGTAGACAACAGGAAAACCGATTTGTTTGATGTGGAATTGGTTCATTCAACTCCTGAAAAAAACCCAATGGAGTGTGAGTGTGCAAGGTACTAACGTCACTAAAACACCATCCAATAAACATCAATAGTCAGGACTAACTACCATCATCAATGATTGCATACCCTCTGATAAACTGATATAGCTATTGAAAATGGACATTTATATAGTTAATTTACGCTTCAAAAATGGTGATTTTCCGTAGTTTTTTGTATGTTTACCAGAGGGTAGCTATTCATGTGGATCTTTATGGCTACCACGTCTCAGTACCAAGGGCGGCGCCAGCTTATCGGGCGCGCGCTAGGCCCATGCTGTGACAGGCTGAGCTTCTCCCAATGATAAACCTACCATTTGGGGATGGTTGATACAATCCACAAAAATTGTGATGACTTAGGGATGATTTGTGGCAGCAAGGGTGCCAGCCACATGATTGGATTCCTCCTTCCACCTCAAATGATGTGACTCAGTTTCTCCTGGAATCCCCGGAATGTAGCTGGATGTTCACCCAACTGATGGTCCCATCTTGCAGGAAACATTGAGTGAACCCATCTCCCACATTCTCCAACGTCCTGTCCTGTTATCTGAGTTATCTGCTGACACCTTGTTCTACCAATGTTTGAAACCAAACTCGAATTGGTGATTTCACATTTGCTACCCAATTACATCCAATTACTCCCTTTGCCGCTTTTTGCCTCCCTCTTGTCCCTCTTGTTACTAGCGCCAAGTT